TTCCTTTGGTTGGACATATATAAAACTTTATTTGAAGTACAAACAGCGAGGTTGCAGAAATGAGCATCAACATCTTATAAAAACATATTACATTTGATTTTGGGTGTGACAAAATTTGGTGTATGAATTTCTTTTTTTAGATAATAAGACAAAAAAACACTTAGTTGTCAACAGTAATAGTGTTTAAAAGATAATATCACTTCTGGTATTAAGACTTGTGCACAACAACAGATCCATGGCAGTCCTTCTGATGAGAAGTCACAGCAGAGTTCCCAGACACACTGATCAATCTTTAACAAATCCCCCCCAGACTGAATCTTATCCATCAAATGTCCCCATGATGTCATTCGCTCTCAATTTTGCTGCATGAAAAACAGGTGTGAATTACACCGTGTTATTACACAAATGCACAGCTCGTCATTATCCTCAATACAAAGTTCAAATTCAGTTCCCTCATGTGAACGTTCAGCCACCTGGCTTATGATTATGCTGCGCTGAATTTGGTGTTTCTCTGCTGAGACCTTTTTATTAAGCAAAGCACACAACTGCTCCGTGTGATGTTTCCCAATTATCTCTTTCTGTTTACCCAATTACATTAATTAGAACGCTCTGTATTTACATAACCCAGAACAAATAAGCCATTGAGCTAAACCTATTATTAAGCTTCTAGGAAAATAATTACCCTACCTACTGATGCCATTGTTATAATGTAACTACATTTAGGGGCATTCTGCTACAGACAAGCATACAAAGAAAATTATTATCCAAATTACAAAATTTTATTAAGAAAGTCCAGAGAGCTTGATTATATTATTTATGGAAGACTTACCTCAAAATCTCATCATCACACAAGACTGTGTGTTTTTAAAAGACTATCAAGGGGAACAATGAGGTTTTAACTGAGCCAGAGTTTCCACTGTGTTCAGCAGAGTCCACAATGTGCAGTTTCTGTGCAGCTTTGTAGCTCCTCCAAACTCCATTTGTTTTTAATGCAGGAAGTTTGCAATCCTTTCACCTACACGTTTGCTAGGTTAGCCCAGCCTGTAAACTCTAATAGCTGTGACATACAGACGCGCAGCATCAGGCCTGGATCTGAAACAAGATGAGTTCAGGTGTATTTGAGATTTAAGGGAGTGCAGCCACAGTGACCCCGTCAGTGAACCCTTCAGCCTGCTGGTTGTCGGCCTGTGGGCCTGGAACAGCTGCCACTGTAAACATTTTCCCTTACTATCCCTTACTATTTTTTCTAGCATTGTCACTGTTACATGATTCATCTGTATTGAAATCAGTGTCGAAGTTTTAATCCTGCATGACAAAGAAAGAAAATATAAGAACCACTGAAGTTCTTGATTGTAGGACTCAGACTTATTTCTAAGAGCATTGATCTTCAAGACTTAACTTGGACTAGACTGTTGACTCAGACTTGTACTTGAGCACTGGCTGCAGTAGGACTTGAGGGACGGACAGGTAGTCACAGACTAAATTATAATTAGAGACAATAGAAAATGTCTCTCCCTTATACTTTCTACACTCTTAAATGACATGTTATGTGGAAAACACAACTTACACTTAAAGTTTCTTACTGAATTTATGGACTTTTTAATGAATTACTTTGAAATCATCAATTAAAAAAGAACATGCTGTGAAAACCTTCTTTATGAAATAAAAAGTAGAAGATGGCGAAAACAAAAAATCTCAAGTGAAAAAATGATGAAATATGGCAAATGATTACACATTACCCCATCAAGGCTCTTTCAAACTTCAAATAGACATCACAAACACAAAGCCAGTAGCAGCACTCATGTAATACTGTTAGTCCTTCAATACAAACTTTAGACCTGCCAATGTGACAGAGTCTTTGATCCAGTCAATAACAATGCAAACAAAGCCGGCACAGGGTGAGCAATGATGTTCCCACTGGGTGCTTCACTCTGTATTTTCAGATTTGGCCTTTAACAATGTGGCCCACGTATCAAGCTAACCTGCCTGAATAACAGTTATTAACTTGGGCAGACAGCTTGCTCATCATTATGGCACAAGGAGAGGGCAGGCGGTGAATACTTGAAGGTGCTTAACAGTCACAGAGCACCATATTTTTCTCTGCTGATTAGCCCGTGTAGAGCTGAGGAGCACAGTGATGATTATGCCTAAAGATGACCGAGGCCCCGTGTTGGAACAGCACAGAGTCTGTAAATGTCGTGCGAAGCATAACAACTTGTGTTTTTACTTGTTTACCTTGTCGCAGCATGAAACATGCTATCCTTGACCACCAAACAAGGGCTCTTAGTCTTTGACAAAGGATGCAAAAAGATGAGTTTCAACACGTCTGCGTTGCAATAGCTCATGCTCGTGACTGGCGTGCACATCCATTGTCCAGAAAATGTAATCGATTTTCTGTGAGAAGTGTGTAGCTTCTTTGCAACAATGTTGTCTCTGAAAAAGTGCAATTATAATATTAAAGCTGTCTCCTCTGGTGACCTTTTTGCATTTGCTCTGTATGCTATTACACTCAATCAAGAAAGGTCAACAGTTGACGTGGATCCCATGCAAACTATCAATTTTTTTGTGTGTGGGCTGTTTTTACAACTGTTTGCCACCTCAGCATACAAACACTAGAATCTCATCCATGTGAGACTGTATTTTATACCTCTTTATGTATGAAATTACCTGCCACTTCAGCTTCACTGGGCCATACTAATTAGTAAAAATAAATTAGCCCTATGGGACAAACATAAACTACCAAAAGACATTCAAGTTAATCAATGTGTACAACCTTTAACCTTGAATATCAAATCTCTAGTTTATCTTGTCAGAGTAATAATAGAGATATGAGGATAGATCCCTTCTGCTACAGTGCTCGAGCAGCTCCAAAGGACAGTTTCTGCTTTGCATAGCCATGTCAGTGTTTGGAAAGGGAGCCACTTGGTGGGCAAACTCAGAATTTCTCCCTGAATGAACCTGCCAACTGAAATAAATAGCAGAGCAAATGTCCAGCACCTCCATTTTTTTATTCATAGCTACATTGACTGAAATAATTGATGGCATCATGACTGACAGGGACCTTAAAAAAAAAAATAAATAGTGGTAGTGAGATGATGGTGCCCAATGTGGTCATTTTTCTTGGGGGCCAGAATTATTGCCCCAAAACTAACATTTTGACACTGTGACAGGCTCAGGAAGTTAAAATGAGTTGTAGTTTTGTCCGAACTACAACAGGCTAGAAGTGCTTTCTATGGCTCTACATTTATATTTTCCCCAGCTTATTTTTCAACTTCAAACCTGCTGTATCAGCACTTCTGTTTCAGGAGCTCAGTGACTGTTGTGATGTTTCAAAGTGAAAGCCCTTCAGACGCTGAAGTGTGTGATTTCACTGTCCACTTTGTAAAGTAAGTGAGCACTCAAATTTCCATGTAATCTGAAGAGGGACATTAAATCTTTACTTGTTTTCATGAGTGTCCTGATAAGACAGATAGCAGCATGACACAATACAGTATAGAAATACATTAAAAAGAGCTAAAATCTTGCCCGAATCTATCTACTTTGTATCTTCTGGTAATAACATGGGAACAACGTACTACACTGTGTAGTTTCCATTGTAATAGGTAAGTGCAGAGAAACTAGTTTTGGTACCCAGAAAATCGTCTTGAAAATCATATCAAACTGGACAGCTCTGGACAGACTTATCAGAAGCGGGCTTCTGATCATGTAGAATAACTGTTAAAGTTCTATTTAGTACAACTTGGGAATTCATGTACTTTAATTTAAGATAAATAACTTGTTTGCCATACTTATTTTTTTAGCCTTCATCATACCATCACAGAGAAACTGTGAAAATTTACATCAAGTCTTACATGATACCTCCTACTAAGGTTTCACAACATTACCGGGTATAACAAGAATATTCACACAGTAAGCATGCTAAATCTGGACTGGGAAAGGAAGTCTCATTCTCACCAAGGTGTTACCAGGTCATTAGCATATAACTTGTAATAGATCACTCGCTTCACATTGCCAAGTCAAACATAAATATGGTACTGAATATCATATTGTTAGACAGCCAATGTTTCGGGTTAATAGACACTTTTCCTTTATTCTAATGGTTTTGTTGTGAGGAAGAGTTATAACCAAAATTGAAACTTTTGCAATCATTTGCTATTTGTATCTATTTTATAGTAATTTCCTTTAAGGCATTTTCCTCACAGTTACATTTTTATGTCTTTTTTTTTTTTTTTTTTTTTGGTCATCTAAATCAGTGGCTTGAAATAATTTGTTAAATGCTCCACAGACTAAATGCCTGAAAATAATAATTATAATAATTATCTGAAAATAAATAAATAAATGAAATAATACAACAACTGCTGTTAAGTGTGTGCTTCCACTGTGCTAGTTGCTTAGCTAAAAACAACAACACAGTTAGCAAACTTCTAGTCACAGCCTTTTACATACAGTTACCTTTGACTTTTCATTAAAACAGTGTTACAGTCCTTTGGGGGACAAAGCAGGACACAGAGGCCCTATCCACCAGCAAACCCCTGTTCAGTGTCCGGCAAAAGGGATTTGACTAAGTTCACATGACGATTCTTTGACTCAGTTGCTTACCTTCTTGCCAGCTTTATCAGTTATGTAACATATCGTTTGTAGTGGTATCCTCGTATGCTTTAATAACCTTCAAATTTTTGTATTTTGATGGAGTGTTTGTAAAAGAGCACTCTCTAGTTAACAAAGTGGAGCCACTGAAAGTGAAGAGGAAATGGGAGAATCTCAAACTAAAATACAAAGTATGAGGAAGCTCCTGCCTCCAGGGGTTGTTAACCTTGAACAAATCCTTACATTCTTAATTGAAAGCTCCTGACAACTTTTGAGAAGTAAGCATGTGTGTGCATTTCATACAAGAACTAAGGCCCCTAGGAGCAGAGTAAGCATAGAGGGAAAAAAAGCATCCTTGAGGTGGTTTACACCTATGGATGAGGCCTTGGGCCAGAGGCTTAGTATTATTGCCTCTAGTCAGCATCGACTTGTCCAACCAGTATGTAGTGGTGGTTTCTCCTCCTCTCCCTGAGGCGGGAAAGCAAACCAAAAAGACGAGGGAGTCTGAGTGGGTCCAGATCTCGCGGCAGGTAACAGAGAGATGAGGAGAGGGAGAAGATTTGTTTGTAGAGAGAGGAAAGGAGAGGGAAAGAGGCACTGGAGACAGAGGAGAGGAAAGAGAAGGAGCAGCTGGTGTGAGAGGAGAGAAGAAAGAGGGAGAGGTTGGACAGAGAGGAGACGAGAAAGCAGGAGTGATTGGACTGAGAGGAGGATAGGGAGAAAGTGGGGATAGAGTGGGATGATATAGAGAAGGAGAAGAGGGACTTGATGGCATTGATGGAAAAAAATCTTAGAATAAATTGTAAATAAATGTAATTAAATAAAAATACATTAACGTTCAACAAATTCTTTTCTTTTATTTACATTTTAGTGTGTCAGTATTGGTTTGAAGACACTAAGGTCTTCAGTTCTCGGTGGTTGAAATTAAAATTGGACTAAATCATGTAATTCTACATGAACATAAACTGATATTTTGAATACAGTTTACCTGTTCGGGAAGTCCTCTTTGTTTGCTGCAGGTGGCTTGATTCTGATCTGTGTTCCATCAATGCTGCCAGCCACTTTGTGAAAGCCACGGGAGCCAGCCAGGTGGACAAGGCCTTCCTCTATGCCCTCCAGCTCAGCAGCAGCAGAAGGGAGATAGATCACCCTCTTCATGATCCCAGTGATGATGCCTGTGACCCGGTGTACCACATCATGAACTGTGATGATTACGACATCGAAGGGCTCTGACACCATGTGCTATGAGGTGGTGCTGGCCAGAAACATCCCCACCTCCAGGTCCTTTCCCCAGCCATGGTCTTTTGTGTGCCTCCCTGTCTACAGCAATGGAGCTAATGGAGTAGTTAAATATGCTAGTATGTGTTATTTGAGGCCTTTTTTTATGTCATCATCCCACCCATGGATACAGGAGGGCAGTGTAATGATAAAGTTGTCCTGTTTAGACAATGTTCCCACATTTTTTTTTCCTTGATTGCTCTAATAATCATGTTTGGTTTAAGAGTTTTAAGAGTTTAACTTAACAACATCATTTGGATATCTAATAAGTTTGTTGTTTTAGCCATGTAAGTTTCACATAATAACAAAATAGGTGATTGTTCTAATAATATGAGGTCACTCGAGCAGATACTAGACAGTATTAAAATGCTCTGGGGGTGTGTGACAGTGCACCAAAGACAGTGACTGACAGTAGTTGTTGGCTAAATGCTATAATTTTAGTATTAGTTAAGGCTTTATGCACTTCACTATGGGTCATAAAGGAGCCCACTCCTTTACTGCTCCTTTTGTACTGGAACAAACTTAAAGCAAGATATTTACACATGGTTATGTGTTTGAAAATGGTTTAAAATTTAATTATGTTATAAGATCCCTGACATCATTCTACTGCCGAGCTTTCACACTCAGGTTCAATAGAGTGTGAATTGATGATGAAATATGAAAAATTGATCATTGAGTCAATATGATATAAGGCAGAGATACCATGATGTAAGCTGTGTATTTAATTTCATGTCAATACAGAGGGAGCTGTATTTGATGTCTTCAGAACACTAGGCTACAGCTTTGACTCTAAAGCAGATGTGTTAGAGAGCTATCTTGTGGTCAGAAGTGGCATTACAGACATCTTAGTCCTTCAAAATGATTAAAGCTCTGTTTGACTAATAAAGGCAAAATCTTCCTCAGGTTTATGTATGCTTTTAGTCTTAAATGGCCGGGGGAGAGGACTTGACAGCGCACCGCTCTGGACCCAAATTTGACCAAAGAGAAGAAAAGAAAAAAGGAATTTAATATTGGTTTATACATAGAGTATAGTGAGGGGCAGATCAGACTGTCCTGGTTACTGTGGAGACTGTGACTGTGGTCTGTGGTGACCCATAGGTTTAAAGGGGTTTATGGCAACCCTCATTTAAGAATAAAAAAAAGAAAATTCTTACTATTATCATTATAATTATAATTATTGTTATTATCATTATTATGGGATAAACATACGTATAGTCCCTTTGCTATAATATAGCAAAAATGAACAAAATTCTTCTTCCATGACTTTCTTCTTAGTTTAAGGAGGCTGTCTGTAATATTTATTTCTGATTAGTCATTTGTTCTCAGTCTGCATTAATAAGTCTGGCATCATCTCTGCTTGTTTACACTTTGGCCAAAAAGATTTTCTGCTATTGACAGTCTTAGTTTATAGCCCAACCAGTCCTATACCTTGAAAATTATTTTAAATTTTATTTTTAACTGGCCATTTCTCTCTTATATTAGTTTTTTCATGAAAACCATGAAGTGAAACCTTTTAGAAAACTTTGTAAAAAATTTCCCAATAAAGGTATGCTTTTTAATGTATTTTTCCTATACTGGTCTGCAATGGAGTGTTCCCATTAAAAGGGGAAAGAAAACAATCAGAGAAAGGAGAACCATCTTCCATGTGCAACACATTCAACCCAATCACAAATTGTTTTGATAGTGAATTCTTAGTGTTAGTGAGTTACTTTTTGAGTCTTTTCAAGTGGAAGCTATACCACACTTAGATGTCTACCTTGTGACTTTAAACGATCCCAAACCTACAAAAACAAAGGTAAAAGAAAACAGCAAATGATCACAGTTTCGATGAGAGTAGTGGTGCTCTCCCAAACCTTTCAGTATATACTCTTATTTCACCTGCTTGTTCTGTCATCCCAGCAATGTCATCCATCCATCTGTAACCATAAAGCATGGTCAACATGAATAATGTGCTAAATTAGGATCTTTAGCAGGTATCGATTATGAATTCGTCCTTGTCCTTGAACTCCCTCACAAAACCTCACTTCTTTAAATGCAAAGAAAGTTGCATGTCCTTTAATCACTCTCACACTCTCGACATGTACAGTATAGGTCATCCTCCGAAGCATGTAATTTGGGTTTTGCCTTTTGTGTGCTTGTTGTCTCCTCAGTGAAGCATTCTTAAGCACTGCCCTTTAAAAACAGGGAGGCAAGTAAAGCATACAAAGCTGGGGTGATTATCTCCATCCTTTACCCTGGTGCTGAATGTGATACAGCATGCCAAAGAGAAAGGCCTGATCAGCCCAGAACATTTTGTAACAAACCAGCTTTGCAGTAATCATGGCATGAACCCCAGCAGAATGTGGCCAGAGACATGCAGTTGGGAATTACATCTCTGTCTCCCATGCAGGGTAAACAAGCGAGCACACATTCATTAAGGGCCTCTCTGTTGGACCTAAAATGTGTATTGACCAGCTGGGGACAAATGGGAACCATTTCCCTCTATGAATCGAAGCCATTCGTTACAGTTTAGGACTGATTCTTTGTCATGGCAACCACCCGTGTGTAGTCATGTCATAAGAAATTGCATTTCCTCAACTGAAACTGACTTGTGAGGAAACTTAATGTTCATGTCTCAACAGAGTGATGGGAAAAATTCTATCACTGAGAAAAGGCACAGGCATGTGTAAAAAAAAAACAAAAAACAGAGTAACATCACTCATCGCATATTAATGTAGGGAACCTTATTTTCTGCTCCTTCAACCACACATTGTGTTCCTCTGTCATTGACAGTTATGTTTAATACTTTGTAAAATGGGATTCTTAGAAGGTTTGATGACCTTTTCCACCACCTTTGGCCTGGTTTAGTATTTTCCTTTTTTAATACTGGTGGGTTTACTGTGTATATCAAAGTCAAAACATGGTGTCTTGGACCAAAATGTGGAACAAAACCCACATTTTACCCCAAAAGCATACAACATGAAACAGTTGGCACCTGCAAAACAATTTTAAACAGTGCTAATCATACACACTGGGGTTTGTTCTTAATAACATTGAGGAGTAGAGTTTCACACATCCCCCCTCTACTTCAAAAGCCTCCCCATTCAGTGAAGACTTCTTGGCATACAGCTCATAGAAAGTGCCAGAAACTGTCAGGGTTAGGCTGCATATGTGAACTCAAACAGCCAAAACTCTACTTTTAATTTTGCCACAGTTTTCCTTGCCAGCTACCCCGATAAGAGCTTAATGTTAAGACGTGCTGATGTGAGAGCCAGGTGACACCCTACAAAGTCAAAGAATGAGTGCATAACCGCAATGTTAAAAGTAAGAGTGCAGTTCCTTAAGTGTCCACAAGAGGCTGGCTCCAAAAGCCCCAGAGAGCCCATTAACACCCATGTTAATATGTCTATGGTCCATGGATGGTGGGAGAGGATTAAACACAAACACAAGTGTCAATGCACTTCAATTGTTAATGTCCGCTTCAAATCAAGAATCTGTTAGACTGTGGACTGTACTGACTTGTATCAGTCTTTGCTGGTCTGGTGTCAGTCCCACAGCTCTGCCAGTTGGACGGCTTTCATTGCATGCTTTGGCTACACCAGCACAGTATGTCCGTGCCCACTCAGGCTGTATTTTGGCTTCACATCTGACAACACAATATACTATATTCCCAAGGCAGCTATCTTCTGGTGACCTCACGCTCAGGTTGGTAAACGTATATCTGTACTATGTTTTATACAATACCATAGATAACTGCTTTGGAAATGTTAATGTTTATGTTGCTGTCTGTTTTTACAACATGTGAACTAATAGGATATATACAGTTCTGCACATGTATCTTACTTTTAACATTGGGGTTATTCGCTTCAATGCCGTTGCTGCATTCTTGTTAATATTCTTCTTTTCTGAGTCTTGCCAGAATAATTTAACATTTGCTGGTATGTACAAAGAGAATTGCTTGTTAACGATGAAGATTTCTCATTCTGTTCCTGGATTGAGGCTTATAATGATGAGAGACAGACTATTGATGTTATGTTTACACAGCAACCCTGTTTACTGGTGACTTCCAGCTGAATGATAATTTGGTTGTCATAGTAACAAGCTGAAAATTCCCAGTTTACAGGGTCACTTGTCCAACTGTAACACCACCGGCAGCCCACGATACTTAACGTCCTATTGCCGACTTTGCATTTTTACCCCTTGTTAGGTAGAATAGTGAGGGTTAGGTTGACCAAAATGATGAGTCCCCCCATCATCAGACATCAAAACTCCTCTTCAGAAATCAATGAGTGGAGTCACTGAGTCTACATCTATGTTTAATACAGTCTACGGGGAGTCTTAGTGAATGCCCTAGGAAACATTGAACAGATTGACCACAAGGAAGTAAGGTGTGGGTGATGACATTTATACCATGCATGCGACGATAATATGAAGCAGGACGATAAAACCTTCCGCAGTTGAAAAAGAGCTATTTTCAAGATGAGAACAGGAAACATGTCTGCTCATCTATCTGTGACATTAATATAAATGCAAAACATGCTATCATAGCACCCCTCTCTGTTGCTTTGTCTGTTTTCATGTTGTGATCACTGCACAATGCCTCCTGAAGCGAGCTTTCAATCTCACGTCTTATCCACCCCTAGTCCCAGTCTTACCAGGGAGAAACTTTACACTGCAGTATGAATGAACAACATGTATGAACAACTAAAATTGGTCAAATCGAATGGGGAAGCTTCTGAAAATTCCTAGAAAATAACAGGCAGGCATGTGAGGAAGAGGGTTCAATGTTGACCTCACAAGGAAACAGAAAAAAAAAACAAGATTCTCACTTTTATTGAAGTTTGAAAAGTCATGTTAAAATATTGTGTTTACATGTTTTTATTGTCTTTTGGGGGAATCTGTTCTCTTTGTCTCAGACAGCCGTCCATTAATGCATTAATGGACACTAATAATTTAATAAATATATGAAATAGAATGCGTCC